GCCCTACGGCAAAAAAGACAATCAACCTTGTTTGCAGTGGGACACTGCAAGTGTGGTACACTGCACTGGCAGTGCCCTACGGCAAAAAAGACAATCAACCTTGTTTGCAGTGGGACACTGCAAGTGTGGTACACTGCACTGGCAGTGCCCTACGGCAAAAAAGACAATCAACCTTGTTTGCAGATGGACACTGCAAGTGCAGTGGAGCACTGCAAACAATCAAGTACAGTGCTAAAACGCATTTGCAGCGACACACTGCAGGCTTGTTTGCAGCGGGACACTGCACAGGTTTTTGCAGTGGGACACTGCAAACAAACTTGCAGTGGAACAATGCAAACAAGCTTGCAGTGTCCCACTGCAAACAAGCTTGCACTGGGACACTGCAAACAAGCTTGCACTGGGACACTGCAAACAAGCTTGCACTGACATCATCATAAAGATAATTGTTACGTCTTCGCATGAACGGAGCCCTAATGATTAATTGAGCATAAGCCAAAAATGGTCAACTTTCGATCCACTTGCAGGGCTGTAATTACGAATCCAAAGTTAGACATGATTAAAAAAAGCAAGGAGATTTCCCAGCTGAGTTAAGTTATGAGTTTTTCTACTGTTGATTGAAGTAAAAAGAAGGCAGTGAATCTCCTGCTGCAGTGTGTGACTTTCACTCCTCTACCTCACTCCGTCTGCAATGCCTCTCTAAGCATATCAATAGGACTCCTTGGAGAGCGTCCACAGAAGAGAAGAGATGCACGAGGAGAGAGTAAGCAAGACTGAAGCAGGAGGATGGAGAAAGAATAAGAAGGTGGAGGTGTGTTACACGTCAGAACAGACACGCTGAATGACAGCTCACTTACAGAGCGATCTGAAGGTGGAGGTAGCGCTGGCCTCATCTTATGGTGTCTGGACATATAATCGTGTATCTGGTTTAACTAATAGAGAGGGATCGCTGGCAGATCTACACCCACCACTTCAGCATAGTCCTAACTACCTTACTGAGCTGCAGCCATTCTCTGATGCAATGAGTGTGAAATGCAAAAAAGAAAAACAACAGAAACACAATAGTGACTGATCTGAGAAAAAAAAAACCCATCAGCAATAGTTGCTCAGCCTTGGGCGCTGAATCACCTTTCAGAACACAACAAAACAGGTCTGCATTTACACCCCACTGCTGTCCTCTGTGATGGACATGTATCAGTTTTGAGAAGTGCTGAAGGATAATGGACCACTTTCTTAGATTGGGGAGATTTCATAGTGCTCATTAAAATCCACTCTCGTCAGGGACTGGAGCCATCATCCCCTGTCAGCTGTGAAGCCTGCTGGTGAGCAACACAAACCAGGAGGAGAGGAGGAAGACAGGAGAGGATATGGAGTGTTTGTATACACACACCCTGATAAACAGTTCAAATATGGAGGGTTGTTTGCAAGTGGAGCCATTCCAGAGAAACATTGGGGTGACGTGTCAAAGGT